AACCCTTGTCGTAGCTAAATTCAGCGATTTGGATCCCGACCTAAAATAATTGCCGAAATTCATGGATTAGAACTAGAAGATTGTTTACCTCGCTGCAGGAAGCTCGTATATGAAATTTGGGCTCAATCCGGCTTCCGGATACTCCAAAACCCTAATCCCTTCAATCGAAAACTTGAGAAACTATCATACCAAAACTTCACTATAAGCTTCTGAATTAATCAGCTATGAGAAACGGAAGGATTACAAGAAGATTAGAAAATTATTGGACTACCTATGATCGAGAATCAACCACTGTTGTTCCTGTCGAACTCTCCCCTGCGCGCTCTGTTATTCTGTTTCTCTCGGTTCGTAATTGAGAAAGAACGGGGATGAGGGGTTTAATGAATGAAAAAGGTGCAGAGGTAGCTGCCCTCCTTTGCTTCCTGCGAAACCCTCTCATTGTGACACATAAACATATACGTGTAATACTAATTGATATATATCTATATATGGTTCAGGCTAGCGTACGCTTACCTTACCGTACGCCTGTCAAGTTTTGTTAGTTAGACCATGAATTAACCGAAATTTGGGGTATGATACTATACCCTAACCTCTAATGGGTGAACCCCACTCCCCAATTCTCTAATCCAAACCATATTATTCGTTTAACCTCAAAATGAAAACCAATGGTTCTGATTCATCAGAATTATTCATTTACAAAAAATAGGTGTGAACGCAGACGTATAGCCTTTGCTATATATATATATATATATTTAATTATTATATATATTATTTATATATAGTATTTGATATTTATCCAATCGATCGATATTTCGATTTTCGTCGAAATACTATCAAATCACTCGATTTTAAATCGTGAAATTTCTAACGACCGAAATATGGATTTTGCCGGAACGGGATATTACACCTTCTGCAGCTGGTGCATCCACTTCTGCTGTCGGCTCGTCTGCTCCCGCCCCCACATCCTACACTGCTGAGCAGCTGGCAGCCATCTCTCGCCAGAACGAGCAGATCCTTGTTGGCCAGGAGCACATCAACGCCCGACTCGACCGTGAGCGCGAAGGTTGCCGCCGCATCATTTCGGCTCAGCATTACATGATGCACTTCTGGACATGGACCCTACTGCTGTTAGCTACCCCTGGGAGGCTTCCCCGGGGCATGAGGATCTCTACCCGCCACCAACTGGCGATGGTGGCGATGAGAACTAAGCTAGCTCTGCCTGCTGAATCATCGAGCTGGGCTCTGCATTTGCCTTTCTTTCTAGAATAAGATTACATTTTGTGTTTCCTTTTCTCTCGTCTTTTTTATTTGGATTGTAGAATTGGAACTATGATTTCTTTCACCGTGTGTGTGTGTGTTTTGATGACTCTAGCTCTGTGCCAGTTGGACTGGTCCTTGTCTAGTCCCCTACTCTTGACTGGTCTGCCCTCCAGTCACCGTTCCTGATCACCATTTCACGGTAACATCATTCCCCTTCCCTCTGCTCCATTGAGGGCAATGTCGAACTTAAGTGTTGTGGGTGCTTTGTATTTATCGGAACGTATATATGTGTGCTTGGAGCCTAGCTCGCTGTCCAAATCTCGATATTTGAGGGCTCCAAGTACTGCTGTTTGCTTGATCATATTGGCATTGTGGGTTTAATTGGTAAATCGAATGGTTTTCGAATTGATGCATGACAACCGGATTGTGAGTAGGACAACCTATAATGATGACTGAGATGTGCAGTAGAGTTGTGTAGGGGTTCAGTTTATCAACTGCTTGCTTACCAACTATGACTTGGATTGATCACTTGCTCTTGACAGTCATCTATGCATCTAGTTCAGGGAATCAGAATGAGAGATAGAGCATATGGGTAGCCATGTGAGATTTGAGCCTGCTCGTTTCTTTCTTGTGCGATAGATTCCTCTTCCATGATGTGTAGCATTCACGTTGCCATTAGCTAAGATGATGGAGGCATAGGAATAGCCCACGACCAAATTGACTGTCCTGGTGTGTCATACCCCCTAGTCAGCCCCTTTGAGCCATGTCACTTTCTTTCTTTCGGTCTACAATGAAAAAGCATCCTTTTGCATCTCTTAGAAGGTTCCACAGAGTGGTTTTTGCTTGTTCTTAGCTGTTTCTGCTAAAAATAAGGTGAGGGTTGGTGGTATTTCTTAAAATTTGGGCATGTGTTTGAAAAATGTACAGAGGTGGTGGTTCTCTCAAGAAACGAAATGAAAAAAGAGGGAAAAAATGAATGAAAGCTAGAGAGAGCCACCACCAAAAATCTGAATCATGATCATTAAGTAGTGTTTCTTAGCAGTTTAGCTTAGAAATACTAACATTATTGTGACCTCCTTCGCTATTGTGCTCTAAAGAATTTGGGTAATGCAGAATGGCAGAAAGAAAGTAAGTGATTTGATTGGTGGTGAATGTGTTAGGTTTGGAACTGTGGAACCTTGTGTTATTGATACTTCCGCCACCTAAAATGCCTTTTTCCCCATGTCCAAGACCCTAGCCAGTCATCTGAACCTGTGTCTAAGACCTCCAGATTAGTTAGTAGTGACACCCGATATGTGAACTCTAACATTTAGAGGTTGCTGTCATGGTGAAGAGATGTTAGGGATTGAGAATACTAGTATGCACATCTTGCATCAAATTGTCCTGACCCCACTGGTCGAGAGTGAGCGATTCATTTCCTATATATTCTCTACACTCTTTACCCCGGTGAGGACCTAGATTGCTCGGTCTGGATTCTAATGTCTTGAGTTTTATACATGACCTGACTGTCTTGAATAAGTGGTTGAGTCAAGTCTATGTTGGTTGGTGAACAGAAGGGAGACTCTTCCTTTACCAAATTTTTCTGCACTCGAATGTCCTCTATGGTGGTTGTCCAGGTAGTTGTTGAGGTTGTCCATGTGTTAATGATCAAAGTCAGTATGATTCACGTGTTTTGTGCCAATATGATATGTCCCCAAAGTTTGCATGATTGAATTGTGTTGAGCTTACCTTGTATTGACTTGGTTTGCTTGGGGACAAGCAAACGGTTAAGTGTGGGGGAATTTGATATCATCTTATTTTCACATGTTTGCACTCTTGTTTCCTGACCATTTTAGCTCGAATTTGTGATTCCGTGGCCTATTTTACGCTAGGTTGTATTGTTTTGTCATATCTCAAGTCCTAGCGAATAAAGGGATGCATAGGCGCAAGTTTCGGGTCATTTGGAGGTCAGTTAACAATTCAAGATTCAAAATACGAGCATCCCCTGCACAATTACAGGCGTAATTGCCACTGCCCTGACCGTAATTTTAAGTGGAGCCAAATTCCTGAGAATGTCTGTCGAAGAGCAAAATACGGGCAAGAATGGAATGAATTGCGGTCGTAATTCCACGAATACTGGCAGTAATTAGGTAATGACGACCGTAATTCCCCTCATCAGTGTTAAGTGAAACGCACGTTTTGGGTGAAATACGGGCGTGCCATGATTACGACCGTAATTCAGCCCGTATTTCGGCCAGAATCGGGTTTATTAGGCAGATTCGAGCCAAAGCGAAGAGGATCGACTTTTTGAGTAGAAAATAGTTTTACAGAGAGAAAGTGCAAAGAATAAACCCAAGGAGCTATTTTGAGTGGATTTCTCACCATTGAAGCCCAGATTGCATCCCCGGGAGTGAAGATCGACATCCTAGAGCAAATTATCCCCATCTTTATGAGTATGACTGCTCTGATTTGTGTTTTCCTCTCTCTCTCTCTCTATGGAGTTGAACCTTCTCTCACTTGGGTATGAAGAACCCTAATTCCATGTGTTAGGAATCTTGATTGTAATGACTTTGGATTGATATACTGATTGATTTTAATCGATTGATGCATGATTCATTGATTCAATTGAAGCCTGATCATCTTTTCTTGATTTCTACTGCAACCTGAGATAGATAGAATCTGATTAGGTTGTTAGAGCTTCATCAATCGGTAGTAATGTAGATTGGTTATACGAGAGTTATTCGATTTACTGCTTTGTAATGGAATCCAATTCCAGAAGTGGAGTTCTGTGTTTATTGCCTCAACAGTCTATCCCGGTGAAGGCTAGTCGCCTGCCGGTTAGTCTGTCTGAGAGGGCTTGGTCAGCTTAAGAGATTCCAAGCTACTATCGGATCTTTCGCAGTTTAATCAACGGTAAATCAACCAAAGGTAATTACAATTTTGACCTAACTAACGAGCTAGGGGGACTCATTCCCGAGTGACTCTTCCCCTCCTTAAGAACTTCGAACCATTTCTTGCTTTCTTACTGCTTTTGCTTAAAACCACATTCAATCAACTTAGTTTGCTAGATGATAAATCGTCACGGAGTAGGCAGTAGATCTAGACCACGGGTTGATAAATAGAACTTGCCACTTTACTGCATTTCCAGGCTGCGATTACACTTGGTCGTAGTTTGGTGTTGTGTTTTAGCGTGTAAGCCCACACCCCGACCGCTTCGGCGGGTAAGTTCGCGACCTTGGCACCGCGTCATCCCCCGTACGATTGTTGGAGACCTCCATGCCGCCTTCTTCTATGGCCGCTGTCAATGAGCCCTCGTGCTCCAAACACAAAAAATCCAGCCCGATTTGAAAAACCCACTTGATTTGGTGATTGATTCACAAACTCATTTACGTCCATTACTTCATCGTTTTATACCAAAATTCGACACTGTTTGAACCATTAGTTCACGTTTTGAGTCCTCTTACATATTACGCCGGATTTTGGAAAAATTTCCCCAAGGATATAATGGTCAATTTGACTCTTGGAAAGAGCAGGGTGTAACATTTCCTCCACCCTTATAAAAATTTCATCCCCGAAATTGTCTCGGACTCATTCTTGTACTTTCTTGCCTCGAGAATTTACTCTTTCTATATGAACTTCAATGATGTCTGTTGCTTGTCCCGTATAGTTTACCTCACTTCTTATATTTTCATCTTGATCGTAAAAGGTATTTTCACCAAGCTCCTTAGCATCGGGTAGCTCAAAATCCACCCCAATCGATAAAAGAATAATTAGATTCATTGATTTCAAGGGGATTCAAGAAACCCTGTGTTGGTCAAAATGGCGTTCCTGACTTTGCTAAGGTCCCTCCCCTTGAGCTCCCTCCCAACACCTTCCAACACAGAGAAGGACGAAATGTGGGTCATTTCCATCCTCTTCGAAATCATCTCGTTTGACGGCTCCATATTATCGTTACCGTACTCCTCCCCATTGTCACTGTCCTCACTGTCGTCACCGCATTCTTCATCCTTATCGTCGTCGTCTTCATCATCGAATCCCATCCACGCATTGGTGGGCTTCTTGCAGCTTTTCCTGGGCCACTGCTTTTGGCCGCTAATCTTGGACTAGTCAGGGATGTTGACAGGGGCTAACTGCTGTACCAACACCTTTGCGGCGCCCATCTTGTTGTACCACCGCCAATTGGGGTGGATTATCCTCCAGAAGGCATTTTCCGATGAAACCACGACTATTCAATCTCATAATGGGTGGCGTTGTGAGGTTTGATCCTTCTTTTGCACGAGCGAGTGATGTCGTTGGTCACTTAGGGAAATCGCCAGAGCAAAAGCTTACTAGTGCACTGCGCATGCTAGCTTATGGCTCTCTAGTTGATCAACTTGATGACTACGTGCGTATGGGTCAGAGCACTGTATTGGAAGTCTTCAGGAAGTTTTGCAGAGCCATTGTGGGGATCTACTTGTCGACATACCTTCGTGCACCAACTCCTGATGATTTAAGAATCCTACTTCGTAAAGCCTCACAAGGATGATTCTCTGGTATGATTGTATCAATTGATTGCATGCATTGGGAGTGGAGGAACTGTAAAATCCCATTCCGTCTAAACTCGTATTACAGTTGCTAGAAAATTATGCGATTAAAATCGACCATTTCAGTGAATTTTATTGAAACTGGAATATCGATCGATTGGATAAGTACCAATTACTATATATAAATATACTGATACTAGTATTACTACACGTGTGTGCTGTTGAACCAAATCTAAAGTAAATTCCAAATGAAAAGAAAGGACGGTAAGGATGAGGTGGAATGATCACTTTCCTATACATGTACATGTCGCTCTTCCCCCATTCCCAAAAAAGAAAAGGTCCACACACACCTACTGTTGGGAGGACGTTATCACAGCGGAGAATATGATATTTGTGTAATGATAATATAGTATAAGGTCTATAGGAATACATATTTGTACAACAAGAAAAATGCATTCTTATAATAGATAGTAGTATGAAATCAAGCTTTCAAAAATATGATATTTATGTTATGAGAATATGATATTCTTAAAAGCTTGATTATATTTATGTTATGAGAATATAATATTCTAGAAGGCTTGATTTCATACTACTATCTATTATAAGAATAAATCTTTCTTGTTAAACGAATATGTATTCCTGTAAATCGTACACTATATTATCATTACACAAATATCATATTCTCCGTTGGGAGAACGTCCTCCCAACACTAGGTGGGACTTGGGAGGACCATATCTGATCCACCCCATTCCATATCCACTTCCGTCCCATTTATTCCGTCTCGTTTCCATTTCCACATCCAAAGACCAGAAGCGAAACATAGCAGATACAGGGGAGGTTCGGGAGAAAATAGAAGAGTTGATTCAAGTGTTTGGGCGATCGAAAAATCTCGTAGTTGGTACGTATTCCTTCAGCAGAACATAGTGCATCCACTTCCGAGCTTGTAGTAAAATTTTGCTTTGACAATTCTCTAAGTTGCCGATCGTAAGAATTAGGGTTTTGGAGGATCCGGAAGCCGGATTAAATCCAAATTTCAAATACAAGTTTCGTACAGCGAGGTAATTAATCCTCTGGTTCTAATCCATGAATTTCAACAATTATTTAATCGGAGTCGAAATCGATGAATTTAGCTTCGGCTAGGGTTTGATGTGTTTTTATAGAGAATTTAACCCGGAGCCTAGAACTAACATTGACGGGGACAATGTACGGGATACTAGGACGGTTCTGAATTTTGATTCCGGTTTCGTTTGTGAAATCGACGTTTTAGTACGGGAGGCTAAATTCGGTGTTTGAATGACCAGAACTAGTGAGTGATTAGCACGGCATACCAGGTTTGTCGTATCACGATAATTATATTGATGCTTAGAATTGACTTAGGTGAACTAGAATGACATGATTAGGGGTGTATGGACTTCTATACTATATGATGAACTCATGAGTGCTATATGATATTATTGTCTTGCCCTAATACTTATGGACCTTGTTTATGTTGATGATTGCCTATATGTTGCAATTTGTGGGCTTGACTGTTGATATTTCTTATGATGGTTCGAGAAGGTGAATGGGGATGATTTTTCATGATTGTTGTATTTGGATTCACAAGTGGGAGGATAAACATCCCAGGGCAATATCATGATGTTTAAGGAGGATGACTTGCACGAGGGTTCATCCCGAGGAAATGCAATTATACGACTCCTAGTTTACCTATGTTGAGCCAATTGTGGCAAAGTCAAGAACATGTGCAAGTAACGAATCATGATTACGCAAGATGGATATGAATCATGTATAAGGATACCAAACATGTATGATAGTCACAGCTCTCATGTGGTGCTGACTGAAGATTTCACATGAGATATGACAAGACCAGAGCTGTGTCGGGGTATGTATGACCACATCCAGGGGCGGAACTAGGATTTGACGATCGGGGGGCCGGAGTCGTCTAGTATATTATGGGGAAACAGGAAAACATATGAAACACCCTAACCCGGCCGGGTACTACTTTTACTAAAATGCCCTTGATAAATAAAATACTCAAATATTAAATTGCAGTAGGAAAAATTTTCATAAGTAAAATACTGAAAACACACACTTTTAGTTCAAAGCAAAGCCCCTAACATGTGGGCAAATTAAGCTCAAACTTTAAAAATCTCAAACTGATCTCAAAATAATCTCCAGTCTGTACTCATAATCATAAATGTAAATAACTAATAATCTCTGAAGTTGTTGCCACTGAAAACCTTGACCAAGAATCCTCCGTGACGCTTATACTGCTCTCCTCTAGCTGGCTGCCCTCGAACTCGCTGTTCACTAACTGCTCCTCTAGCTCCTCAAACTGGTGAGTGAGATGAGGCCAGTCTACGCCCTTACGTTTTAAAACTTCTAATACTTAAGTACTTTACTTAAACACTTAACTTTGACTAGTGGAAGTTGTTTGTACTTCCAAACTTAAAATCTTAACTCTTAAACTTTGAGGGAGTTGAAGTTACTCTCCTCTCTTAAAGCTCAAATCTTGACTTAAATACTTGACTGACATGGGGATTCCTCAATAGCTAGTCCGGTTGCCAACTCATACGTATGAGAAGCCATCCAGGCTTTCCTTAAACTTAAACTTAGTTAGGGAAGTCGTAACGATTCATCCCCCTAACATCTTAAACTTATCGTGGTGGCTCTTCACCATAATTCTCAAGAGCATAACTACTGCTCTACCTCAAAATGTCTAAAAAGGCAACGGACTGGCGCTAGTGACTAAAACACTTAAAACGACTTAACCTTCTTGAAGATGAGTTACTTCTTAAAAAAAATTGTTTCTAAAACTTTAACTATAACTTATAAACGTAAAGCTTTAAGTAAATAATAACTCATGCACATTCACTTCAACATAGCTCAAACAAAATCACATATCATCACCCATAAGCACAATCAAACAATGACAATCACTTCATCAAAATACATAAAGCTCGTAATACTTGAAAGGACACATAAGACGTAGAATTTACCCCCTTTACACTCACCTTATATCCTTCGAAACCAACTCTGAAACTGCTCTAAAATTTCCATTCTTGCTGTAATTAAATTCTCCTCATTATCACGATTCCATAGGCGCTGACGATTCCTCGATCGGACGTCAATTGATTGAGTTATGACCAAAATAAACATTCTGTCAGTTTAAAAGTACTAGGTACCAAAACTGTAATTTTCGAGTCAACACAGTTGACCACGACCTCTTTGGAAAAATTACACATTTAATCCTCTAACTTCTCTGGACCATAAAAGATATCCTCACATAGCTTTGTAGCACCGTATAGCTTTAAGTGACTCATTGGCCTTTTAACTCCCGCGATCAGGCTCAGTTGCTTAATGAAACAAAATTCTGGTTCAATCTGGTTTGTGACCCAACTCATTAAGTAGTTGGTTGTAGTATATAGGTCCAGATCGAGGTATCACATTTCCCCCTTCCTTAAGAAAAATTTCGACCTCGAAATTTGTTCGTTGTGATGACCTCAAGTCTCACTTGTGATAATCTATTTACAATGAATTGTACCTCCTTAACTTGTGCGACACTGAGCTATACATCCTTCCCTTCGATAGGATGTGATTTTAGAAGACTGGTAGTTCAACCATTTCTCGTAGACAACTTGCCTAGCTAGCTATTAGCTCGATACAACTATGAGATTCTCCACCTATATACGGCTTCGATGTTGTGGTGCTTTACTCAAAACATCTTGTGATTATCGCGGTTTCTCAAGACCCCCCCTTACAATTTCTTAAGCAACATCGTCTAATAATTCACCAGTATCTTGACCTATAATGTTCTCCTTTTCACGATTGTTGATGCACACCTTTCAAATCCATGACGTAAACGTTCATGGTGAGTGTTCGACTTGCTCGGTAACGCCCTGTTGTCTAATGCCTCTTACCCCCTTCACATTGGTCATTTACTTCGAACGTGTTTAGGGCATCCGCTATCTCCATCATTTGGTACATCAGAAGTTAATACCACATTGAACCCCAAGATTACTTATGGCAGCGTGATCTCCTTTTGTTCGATCGCAAAACTCTTTTAACGTAAACCCGTCTGTGGTTGACCACATCGGTCACCTAGGTCCTTGTATCTCCTAACTTATATCTCTTACTTTATTCCTTGATACATCATCTTATCATTTGATTATAACCTGAAAGGTCATCTCCTCGTTACGTCTTTCTTAACGCCGAAACCGCGTACTACTGCTTTTAGATTCTGTATGCATCAGAGGCATCCATTGCATCGCACCCCTAACTTGCATTCAAATTAATGCTTCTTTCAAGAATCATGACATCCTCCTTGGCTTGCTTGTTCACCACTGGCCGCCTAACTAAATACTCACTTATTGTCGCTTGAATTTGCAGTTCTCGTACTATCTATTCTGCTACTCTTTGACCCTAGGTGAAATTCCTCGTGGTTTCCCCGACAAAGAGATTTTCTCCCAAGAGATTTCCACCTTTCACCAGGATAGGCGACCTTGGTTTCACTTTGGGGTATTCCAGCAGGTTCCCTTAACTCATATCCCTACTACTTCTTTATGCGCGACCCTTCTTCTTGAGGTTCCTTGCCAGATCTAGTTATCCCTTATTCTCGATGTAGTCCCGTAGGTTCCTATTTTCACTTCTCACTCATGTACCTTGACCGTTAAGGTTCTCCCTTCGACTATATTTGACGACCACGATTCCACCTTACAATTGGCCGAAATTTCTCGATGGACTTCCTATGGATCAACTGTTCTCTACTGGTAATAAACCTAATGCTTTCTTGTTGTCTGCTGTACTCCTACTTTGGCCCGTCCTAGCTATTTTCCTTGACGCATACATCGTTCGGTCGACGACCACCATTTTCTTTATGTATCATCCTATGGGTTCTCCTTGCTTCTTTACTTTTACTACTCTTCTGTTGTTGCTTTCTACAATATTCGGTCACCAAACTCCATTTAGTATCTTTGCATTGTTGTTTTGGGTCAAAGATTCACGCTTTTGTTTTGAGCAATGTCTGTACATTGACTTAATCTCCCAGTTGGGGTTCTTAGTAGCTTAAGTAAATGTGTCTGATTTATCCTTAACTAGTCGCCTCCTCTGAGTGAAATCCTACTATGCCGCTCCCACTCAGAGTGGGGCACCTTGGATAGGTAACTTAATGATTTCCTCCTTCTCGGTAATGCTTTTCCTCATCGTACCTCTTTATGCCGCTTCTTGAACTCGAGTCACCTACTCATATTCGCACTACTTCATCGAAATTTCCATGTGCTTCCTCGAATTCTCTGCCATTCACTAGAACATTTATTGAACGTTCCAGTTACTTGTCTATACTCGGTTGGTTTAATGACTTACTCTATAGCTAGTTCCGAGAGCTCAGCTCTTAGCCCTCTAGTTCCAACTTAGTAGAGAGGTTCCTCCTTCTGCCACCCCTCATGTACCCTAGGAGGCTAGGTTCTCCCTTCATTTAGGATAGGACAATCCCATAACAGATCATCGTGAACTCTTGCATTCCCCTTTCAATGGTCTCAACGACCTCCTAACCTTTTGTGATCTGGGTAGTTTGTAGGGTCTCTCATATCCCAATCCATCCTCTTTCTAGCCCGACTTTGTTCATTAGCACATTGGTACTTCTTGACGTCCTATCATACTCCCTGTAACTTACTAAATACCTTCTTTGCTTCATTTATACTACCCTAGCTTCTCTTGAAGTCTAAGCTTTCCACTGCTCCTTGTCACTGTGTTGCAATAGCGTTGAACACTAAACTAGCTGAGGGACTTCTCGTGGTACCACCTCGTTTCTTGACTCGCCACTGCTTAGGGCCAAGGACCCTAACATCATCCTATTATCATAGCTACTGGCACCTGGTGATTGTTCCTCTTCCTTTGGAGATTTATATTTCTCCCCTTGTTTGTCTTAGCTTATTAGATCATCCACTTGTTTCCTCGTAGTAAAATCCTCGTACTACTCTCTCAACTCCTTCGAAATCCTTGAGGTATTCCCTTTCAATGGGCACCTCTTTGCTGGTGTTTGGAGTTGAAGTCCTCACACATTTGATTCTACCTCCACGGACCTTTGCAACGTTCCTCCTTCCTTCTCTAGGTTGATGATGATGATCTGTTTGCTAACGTAAGAGCAGTTGGTTAATTAAATGAAAAACTACTATCAATCATGTCGATGAGATACCTGGTCTTGAGAGCCTTTGAGATTCTACTTGGGTTGGTCACGTTTCTTTCATCCTTTCTTTCTTACTGGCGATCACCATATGCCTAAATCTCTCATCTGACAAACCATGACATGTTAACTAAATCGTGTCCTAGCCTATTCTTAAACAATCGCACCCTGGCCTACCATCCCTTTGTGCCCTATCATCATAGTTATTCACCTTAATATGGTTAGAGTAGACTGGAGATTCTATAAACTCTTAAAAGAAGACCCCTGACTCGTTTTCCTATCCTTTAAAACAAAAGCCTTTAAAACTGAGAACGATATTCCAGTAAGCCTTGGAGACCAAGGAACAGAGGAAGACCGGCTCTAATACCAAAATGAAACACCCTAACTCGGCCGGGTACTACTTTTACTAAAATTCCCTTGATAAATAAAATACTCAAAACTTAAATTGCAGTAGGAAAAATTTTCATAAATAAAATACTGAAAACACACTTGTAGTTCAATGCAAAGCCCCTAATACGTGGGCAAATTAAGCTCAAACTTTAAAAATCTCAAACTGCCATCGAACTCGCTGCTCACTAACTGCTCCTCTAGCTCCTCAAACTGGTGAGTGAGATGGGGTCAGTCTACGCCCTTACGTTTTAATACTTCTAATACTTGAGTACTTTACTTAAACACTTAACTTTGACTAGTGGAAGTTGTTTGTACTTCCAAACTTAAAATCTTAACTCTTAAACTTTGAGGGAGTTGAAGTTACTCTCCTCTCTTAAAGCTCAAATCTTGACTTAAATACTTGACTGACACGGGGATCCCTCACTAGCTAGTCCGGTTGCCAACTCATACGTATGAGAAGCCATCCAGGCTTTCCTTAAACTTAAACTTAGTTAGGGAAGTCATAACGATTCATCCCCATAACATCTTAAACTTATCGTGGTGGCTCTTCACCACGATTCTCAAGCGCACAACTGCTGCTCATCTTAAAAGTCTCAAGAGCATAACTGCTGCTCTATCTCAAGATGTCTCAAAAGGCAACGGACTGGCGCTAGTGACTAAAAACACTTAAAACGACTTCACCTTCTTGAAGGTGATTTACTTCTTAAAAAAGAACTTGTTTCTAAAACTTTAACTATAACTTATAAACGCAAAGATTTAAGTAAATAATAATTCATGCAAATTCACTTCAACATAGCTCAAACAAAATCAGATATCATCACCCATAAGCACAATCAAACAACGACAATCACTTCATCAAAAATACTTAAAGCTCGTAATACTTGAAAGGACACGTAAAGCTTAGAATTTACCCCACTTACACTCACCTTATATCCGTCGAAACCAACTCTGAAACTGCTCTAAAATTTCCATACTTGTTCCAATTAAATTCTCCTCGTTATCACGATTCCATAGGCGCTGACGATTCCTCGATCGGACGTCAATTGATCGAGTTATGACCAAAATAAACATTCTATCAGTTTAAAAGTACTAGGTACCAGAACTGTAATTTTCGAGTCAACATAGTTGACCACGACTTCTCTGGAAAAATTACACATTTAATCCTCTAACTTCTTGAATTGCCAATACTGATACCTGAACTCTCTGATTTGCGTCCCAAACTTTCGAGGCTCGTATCTCCCTCGTCCGATGTCGAAACTCAATTCCGTCAAGACCGTGACGCTCCTGGGATCGTCCTCTTCGCAATGATAACCACCACTCAAATAAAATTGGAAGTCGCCTACGCTGGGATCGTTGTCGGAACTGCTTGGAACAAAGACGAGGTCGCGCCTACTGGGAAGAGACGCGACAGCAGCTATTGCAACAGAAAGCTTCAACAGGTTTGGGAGAGAGCTGGAGGGGTTTGGAAGAACACGAATCGCCGTTGGATGATGGAGAGGTAACAACACTCGCCGGCGGCGGCTCGTTTGGAATGGAGGATTTCGTTCAGTTCAGCCCGGTGATGGAAGGTTGCGGAGAACAAAAATCTCATGGGGAAAGGGGGAAATCTTGATGCTCATTCAATCCGATTTCTTCCCCGACTATTGCGACTTGGAAGCAGCAGAGCTCTTGTCCTCGGCAACAAATAATGACATCCAAAGGTCGCAAGAGTAACTTCTGGACTTCAATGGATTTTGCTTTCGAGCAGAAATTTAAAGCAGAGAAGAAGAAGAGTTAAAGGCGACAAGAGATAGGTCAGAGGTGGGGACGGGGGCAGAATAAAAGTCTAGGCTTTTAGTTAGTCCAAGGTTATTTGTGGAAATTCACACTTGCGGGTGAGTTTAATCCGAAACTCAATTATTGTCCGTAACTTTTTCATTTTATGTCGAAATTCGACACCGCTTGAACCGATAGTTCACATTTTTAATCCTCATCGACAATACGGTGGAACTTGACCCAAGGGTATAATAGTCATTTTGACTTTTGGGAAGAGCGGGGTGTAACATTTCCTCCACCCTTAAGAAAAAGTTCGTCCCCGAAATTTGCTCGAAACTCATTCCTCTGTCAACACCATCCTTGTACGTCCTTGCCCCATGAATTTTATTCTTGCTATTTAAAATTCAATGGCGTGTCCTTACCTTGCCTCGTATGATTGATTTTACTTCTTATATGTTCTCCGGACCATAAAAGGTATCCTCACATAGCTTTGTAGCACCGTATAACTTTAATACGGTGTAATTGCACATGTTTGCACCCTAGTTCTTATCCGTTTGTGGAGCGTAGTCGTGTATTTTTTGCCTATTTTACGCCGGGTTGTGCTACTTTGTCATATTTCAGGTCCCGGACGTCGAATGAAAGGCTAAGCACGAGTTTCGGGACATTTGGAAGTCATTCGGTCGAGCTGGGGCCAAAGCACGGGCTGGCCTAAACCAAAGCACGGCCGTGTTCCTGGACCGTTCTTTTACTGCCGAGGCTTGATCCAAGATTGTCCTGCGCTGGCCCAAAGCACGGGCGGGACTGACTCAAAACACGACCGTGTCCAACTTTAGGCACGACCGTGTTTTCCCCAAGATGTGGCCGTGTTTTTAACACGTGGCAAGGGCACGGGCGGGCAAAAGCAAAGCACGGCCGTGCCCTCGATCGTGTTTTGCCTAGGGCTGGCCTTTTAGGCAGATTTGAGCCAAAGGAGAAGGGGTTCCGTTTTTTAGAGAGACAGAGCGATTCTTAGAGAGAGAAAGTGACGAACTAGAGTTCCCAAGTGCCCTAGCTTGATCTTCATCACAATTGGACCCCGGCTTGAGTTTGGAGAAGATTCGATTGAGCGCCAGAAGCAGATTATCATCCTTCACAGTATGGTTTCCGCATCTGAGCTAGATTTTCCATCTCTCTCTATGGAGTAGTCTTCTTATTCATCTGGGTATAGAGAACTCTAGATTTGTATGTTAGGTCTGATTGTATGAACCCAAGTACAGGTTCTATGATTTGATTATATTCAATTGAGGTTTGAATGATTGAATGGCATGAATCCTGATCAAATTCCTGTTGTTTCTACTTTAACCTAGAAAAAGAATATCTGCATAGGTTGATAGAGCACCCTTAATTGAAGGTAGCGAATTGGCGACTTTAGTCGAGGAGCCAATTCACTATTCTGTACCAAATTTACTTCGGTAGTGGAGGTTTGGTTCGTTAGGGCCTCAATATGTTTACTCCGGTGGAGGTTTGGGTCGTTAGGGCCTCAATATGTTTACTCCGGTGGAGGTTAGTTACCCGCTGGGGACTCAGATTGAGAGGGTCTGGAGACCTTTACTCGAGACTTCAAACTGCTTAAGAACCTCCCGCAGTATAACTATCATTAAAATTGAACTTGGTAAATTACAATCCGGCTTAACTACAGTATAGGGGGAACCATATCCGGGTGACCTCTCTCGACTTGAAAACAACCGTTTAATTTCTTTGCTTGTTTGAACATGCACTAAAGTTTCACCGCTAAATAATAAGAATTCGCTGAGTGGTCATCACATCTAGGTCCCGGGTTGACATTAAAACCCAAACCCGCTATACTACGCTTTAGGAAGTGGTTACACTTGGCCATTTTCTAGAGTGACAGTAGGCGTGAGTCAAGTTTTTGGCGCCGTTGCCGGGGACGGCTAGGTTGTTGAAGAAATATGAATTCTGTTAATTTAGCTTTTCCTTTCGTGTTGTTTGCTTTGTCCCACTTGTGCCTTCACAGGTTTTCTGCTTGACTGTGTGCAGGTATTGCATGACCCGTAGCCAGTCAAGAGGTTTACTGTCATTGAACAGCGAGTCCGAGGACGAGTACGAGATGGAAGGAGATCACAATCCATACCAGGGGAATCCTAACCAGGTTCCCCCAGCGAATCAGATCTTGGGGAACAACCCCATACACCAGGCAGATGGGGTTCATCATCATCCACCGCCGCCGGGTCTGACCTTGGAGTACTACTACACTCCACGGATTGCTGACATCCACCCTGTCATCCTCTATCCGCCCATTCCAGCGAACAACTTTGAGATCAAGCCATGTTGGATTCAACTCATTACATCCTCTATCTAGTTCCATGGCTTGAAGGATAAGGAGGCGAGGGTGCATCTTTCCCGTTTTCTGCAGCTGATGAACGGGTTCAAGCTAAACGGTGTCCCTGATGATGCAATCCGCCTTCACCTCTTCCCCTATTCTCTGGCGGGGAATGCTAAGAGGTGGTTGGAGACCCAGCCCCCGTTGTCCATCACTTCTTGGGACGATCTAGCGACAAGTTCGTGCACAGGTACTATCCACTCACTTTCGCCAAGAGCCAGACGAGTCACTTAGGGCCTGTTTACTTTCATTTCTGTTTCCTGTTTTTGAGAAAACAGATGTTGAAAACAGGTGAAAACAACATTTTATCGTTTCCGAAAATAGCAGGAAGTTGCCACTTTCTGTTTTCATAGTTGGAAACGAATAGAAAACAGAATGAAAAGTAAACAAATTTTCTCATTTCGGTTGCCAAATTTATCACATGAAAACAGAAAACAGGAAACGAAAATGGAAGTGAACAGGGCTTTAGTGATGCATGGGAGCGGTACATGGGATATTTCTGGCAGTGCCCCCATTATGGATTCAGTGATGCATTCACAGTGGGGAACTTCTACAGTGCTCTCTCTCCGGACAACCAGAGGGTGATTGAGTCTCTATGCCTAGGAGGGAATATTCTTACTAAGACTCCACCCGAACTAAACCAGATGATCAGTACCTTGGCTGCCAGAGATCATTCCTGGGGGCAGAGCACCAGAGGTAGGAATTCCCGGGATCGTGGTGTGCACGCTATGGAGGCCAGGTCCGGGCTCGAGCAGCAGGTGGCCGAGTTAGTGCAGACATTGAAGCAGCCCAACAGTCTTATTCCGGGCATAGGTTTGGCTACACCTCCAGTAGCTCAATGTCAGTGGTGTGAGAGCTCAAATCATCTGGTGGAAGACTGCCAGGCTATGAGGGAGTCTTCTACTCCCCAAGAGCAGTTGGACATCATCGCCAATGCTCGGCGCTTTGACCCCTATAGCAATACATACAATGAGGGGTGGCGCCAGCATCCCAACTTCGCTTGGAAGAGCAACACCGCTAAGCCACCTTTCCAGGCTAGACAGGGGCCAGTTCCTCAGCAGCAGCCTCAGTGTTAGTATGCCGAGCCAGCAGCAGCTTCAGTTCCAGATAATCAGATGATGGAGCTGAAAAACATTCTAGCGGCATTCATGACTACCAGCCAGGCGAATTTCACGAGGGTGGACTAGAACATAGCCTCACTAGAGGCCGGCCTGAGGAACCAGGGGGCCATTTTGCAAGATTTACAGAACCAGTTTGGTGACATATCTCGCCAAATTAATACTCGGGCCCCGGGAACTCTACCTGCCACTACCATCCCCAATCCACGGGAGCCGCACCAGCAGCTAAATGCCATGTAACACCCCGACTTTGGATTCAGGCTCGACCAATATACGGGAACGGTTGGATTAACGGTTACATTCGAAGGGTTGCCGCCTCAGCCCTGATTAATTCCCCAACCGAGGAACCCCTTTATCCCACCGCCGCTACCTTAGATCTACCCACGCCATCACCTGATCGAGAAACAGCAGCGCGGCACAAGAGGCCATTGCAGCGGCCACCGCCTGTCCTCGTGTCTACTATGACCTGCCTGCTTAAGCAGCTACAGCGGACACCTCGACGTGACCTAATGGATGGGTTGTGTCGTCATCGCCGAAGAATGGGAGCAAACGTTGGACCTTCGTGGGCAGAGCGATGACAACCCACCATACTACGCGGGGGCAAAAACGGTGGACAACCCTCCCTACTACGAGAGCTGTTAGCGTCAATTGATGGGTTGTGTCGTCATCGCCGAAGAATGGGAGCAAACTTTGGACCTTCGTGGGCAGAGCGATGACAACCCACCATACTACGCGGAGGCAAAAACGGTGGACAACCCTCCCTACTACGAGAGCTGTTAGCGTCAATTGATGGGTTGTGTCGTCATCGGTGAAGAATGGGAGCAAACGCTGGACCTTCGTGGGCAGAGCGATGACAACCCGCTACGCTACGCGGAGGCAAAAACGGTGGACAACCCTCCCTACTACGAGAGCTGCTAGCTTAAGCAAGCTCGTCAATTGTTAGATCTGCGGCAACCTCGTCCATCCACGGCAAAAGCGATGGATAACCCTCCCTACGAGAGCTGCTCGTCCATCCATGATATCTTTGTCGGCAAAAGCGATGGATAACCCTCCCTACGAGAGCTGCTAGCTTAAGCAAGCTCGTCAATTGTTAGATCTTCCCTACTACGAGAGCTGCCAGCTCCATTATTAAGCAAGTGAAGTAGGAGTGCCAGCTTAAGCAAGCTCGTCGATTTTATTCAAGCAAGTAGGAGTGTTGGAAGCGAGTATGAAATCATTTGAGCAAAATCAGAGCCAGTTCCGACAGAAGTAAGGTGAGTGTAAAAGGGGGTAAATTCTACGCCTTACATGTTCTTTCAAGTATTACGAGCTTTAAGTATTTTGATGAAGTGGTTGTCGTTGTTTGATTGTGCTTATAGTTGATGATATGTGATTTTTATTGAGCTATGTTTGAAGTGAAGGTGCTTGACTTATTATTTACTTTAAAGCTTTACGTTTACAAGTTATAGTTAGAG